TTCTGGGTAAAAGTGCAAAGAAATTCGAAAGGAAGGAAAAGACTGGAACAAAGGGGTCTTTTTGGCAGTTTTGTCTGCGAAGGCATTTAAGACACGCGTGGCACAAAGACGCTGAACATGTACGACAATCGAAGCGAGAATGACTCCTCGCATGCATGCAATGTCGTNGTAGACCCAAGGCTTGATATTCTTGAGTTTGTGTACTGAGTCATCAATGTCGACTGACTGTAGAATAAGAGATTCAAGCTTCCATTCATATCGAAGAAGGAGAAACCATCATTCAAGGGAGCTTAGGAGAGAATGGCTTCGGTGTTGGAGTGGAGGCGCTGTTGGGCGCTGCTAGGTGAGCACCTATNTCTTGAGTTTGTGTACTGAGTCATCAATGTCGACTGACTGTAGAATAAGAGATTCAAGCTTCCATTCATATCGGAGAAGGAGAAACCATCATTCAAGGGAGCTTAGGAGAGAATGGCTTCGGTGTTGGAGTGGAGGCGTTGTTGGGCACTGCTAGGTGAGCACCTGTTGTGCCCGAGAGAGGGGTGTTGGGCGCCCCTTTCGGTGTTGGTTTTATTGGTTTTGGCGAGTAGGAAGGCCCGCATGACGTTGGCGAGGCTGGGTGCGAGCCTACTATGCCCGCAATGGAGGTTCTGGGTGCTGAACAGGCTGATTTCTCTGCTGGGCACGCGTCTGCTATGCGCGCAATGGAAGTTCTGTGCACTGAGCAGGCTGATTTCGGTGCTAAGCAGGCTGTTTCAAGCAAGCAGAGCACTGATTTGGGTGCCAATTTGGGCGCTGAGCAGGCTGATTTGGGTGCTGAGTGCGTGCCTGCTGTACTGTTGAACGTAAGGGAGACTGATCTAGGTGAGTAGGCGGGGCAAACAGCTTTGGGCGAGCAGCCTGCTACACTGGATAGCCTAGGCTAGCAGCCTGCTGCGCTGAGCAGACCGGGCTAGTAACCTGCTGCGCTGAGCAGCCTGGGCGAGCAGCCTGTTTGAGTTTTTCCAAGCGTAGCTTCTCAAAATCATTTTCCTAGAGACCTTTCTGGCTCGGACAGAGCTTTACACCCTTGCGTCACAAAGCATCGAGGTAAGGTACCTTTCGATGATAATGGGTCCAATGTAAGTACTATCTCTAGCACTTTAAATTCANTAAATTCTAGGAAACGTCCCATCGTGAGCCTCCCAAGTAAAAACCAAGCTGAGATTGTCCATAATAGCGTAGGTCACTCCAATCCACGTTAGGCAAGGCTTACCTAGCTATGGACTAGGGGACATCTGATGATACCAAAAATTGGTCAACACTAAGCTCGGACCTCTCAGCTCATGATCATTACCTCGAGAGGCGCAAGTCGGGAATCACCACCGATGTAGCCCTCCTGCACACAGTGATAGTGATAGCTCACACCTTCCAAAATANCCATCATTCAAGGGAGCTTAGGAGAGAATGGCTTCGGTGTTGGAGTGGAGGCGCTGTTGGGCGCTGCTAGGTGAGCACCTATTGTGCCCGAGAGAGGGGTGTTGGGCGCCCCTTTCGGTGTTGGTTTTATTGGTTTTGGCGAGTAGGAAGGCCCGCANTACCACATCATGCCTAGGAAATATAGCCTCTAATTTGGCCGACACATGAGTCATAACAACCCCAAAGAGATCACATTAATTACGTAAGGATCAAGTTAGTTATGNTACCACATCATGCCTAGGAAATATAGCCTCTAATTTGGCCGACACATGAGTCATAAAAACCCCAAAGAGATCACATTAATTACGTAAGGATCACGTTAGTTACGNTGGTTTTATTGGTTTTGGCGAGTAGGAAGGCCCGCATGACGTTGGCGAGGCTGGGTGCGAGCCTACTATGCCCGCAATGGAGGTTCTGGGTGCTGAACAGGCTGATTTCTCTGCTGGGCACGCGTCTGCTATGCGCGCAATGGAAGTTCTGTGCACTGAGCAGNTGGAAGGATCGCAAATATCACGCAAAGCAACTGAATACTATAAATAGGGATCAAATCTCTCGTATTGTGATGAATCAAGCATCTATGTCATTGACCCTATGTAATTTTGTAAACTTTTTCCCCAAATAATATAAAACTTCCCCAGGAGTAAGAGACTCCATTAGAGTGGACCACCCAAGCTTCCAAGCTAGTGAACCACTACAAATTTCTATTTTATTGATCTTTCTTCATAGTTATTTTAACTTTTGAATCGATTATTCAACCCCCAAGAGCCCAACAGCTCTGACTGGATATCCCGGTAAAACCCCATCAACGTCCTTAACAAGATCCTCAAACCGTTCACCTCTGCTCAACTACGCACAATACACCATCAGATACCNCATGACGTTGGCGAGGCTGGGTGCGAGCCTACTATGCCCGCAATGGAGGTTCTGGGCGCTGAACAGGCTGATTTCTCTATTGGGCACGCGTCTGCTATGCGCGCAATGGAAGTTATGTGCACTGAGCAGGCTGATTTCGGTGCTAAGCAGGCTATTTCAAGCAAGCAGAGCACTGATTTGGGTGCCAATTTGGGCGCTGAGCAGGCTGATTTGGGTGCTGAGTGCGTGCCTGCTGTACTGTTGAACGTAAGGGAGACTGATCTAGGTGAGTAGGCGGGGCAAACAGCTTTGGGCGAGCAGCCTGCTACACTGGATAGCCTAGGCTAGCAGCCTGCTGCGCTGAGCAGACCGGGCTAGTAACCTGCTGCGCTGAGCAGCCTGGGCGAGCAGCCTGTTTGAGTTTTTCCAAGCGTAGCTTCTCAAAATCATTTTCCTAGAGACCTTTCTGGCTCGGACAGAGCTTTACACCCTTGCGTCACAAAGCATCGAGGTAAGGTACCTTTCGATGATAATGGGTCCAATGTAAGTACTATCTCTAGCACTTTAAATTCAGACGCTGATATTTTACGGATTGTCTCCACCTATCATATTCCTCCGACTGTGCTATGTCGTTGAGCCGAGATGGGTGAGCTTGATTACGATGACTCCTCCGGTGACATTGTTATTTATGAGAAGGTTCTTGAGACTGGGCTTAGGTTCCCAATGCCTTTTACCATTTGTGGCATTCTGAACTATTTTTCCCTGACATTTGGGCAGTTGGCGGCCAACAGTTGGAGAGTGTTGTTGAGCTTCTTGGCATTATGGAAAAGGGTGCACCATGAGGATCCTTCTCCTGAGGAATTCCATGTAGCTTATTACCCTAGTGAAACTCCTTCTCCTAACCAAGGTTGGTATTATTTTACCACGAGGGGAGGCAAGTTGATTACCGGACTGCCCTCTAAATGTCATAACTGAAAATCTCGCTTCATATTGGTCGGTGGAGAATGGGCTTCAGATGCTATTAAGGGGTTGGTTCCAACACGATGGGATACTCCAAAGAAAGTTAGTACGCCTTACATTCTTACTCCTCTCGTATCACATTCTCTGTAGGTTGGGTACTCAAGGGCTCGAGGATCAAGACTCCAACACCCAAAGAGGAAGATCCTAGTTATGGCATAGGGATCTAAGAAAAAGGTAAGAAAGGACAAAGAATGACTCAGACTCCTAAGTTAACAGAAGCGAAAAGTCCAGAAGTGGAATAACCACCTTTGATTCGTAGGATCCAGGGTTGAAAAAGAAACCTAAGGAGAAAGAAGCAAAAAAAGGAGCAAGACAAAGGACATACATAGAAATCGAAGACGATCGACGATTGTGAACCCAAGTGGAGCATCAAGGAAGAATAAGATCAAGTTTTAAAATACCTCCGAATGATTTGAGCACTCACTGAGATAGCCTGGACAACAAGGAAGGAAAGGAAAAAGACAAAATCACAAGAGACAAAGAAAGAGTAGGGTGCTTCTGGGTAAAAGTGCAAAGAAATTCGAAAGGAAGGAAAAGACTGGAACAAAGGGGTCTTTTTGGCAGTTTTGTCTGCAAAGGCATTTAAGACACGCGTGGCACAAAGACGCTGAACATGTACGACAATCGAAGCGAGAATGACTCTTCGCACGCATGCAATGTCATAAATTCTAGGAAACGTCCCATCGTGAGCCTCCCAAGTAAAAACCAAGCTGAGATTGTCCATAATAGCGTAGGTCACTCCAATCCACGTTAGGCAAGGCTTACCTAGCTATGGACTAGGGGACATCTGATGATACCAAAAATTGGTCAACACTAAGCTCGGACCTCTCAGCTCATGATCATTACCTCGAGAGGCGCAAGTCGGGAATCACCACCGATGTGGCCCTCCTGCACACAGTGATAGTGATAGCTCACACCTTCCAAAATACCACATCATGCCTAGGAAATATAGCCTCTAATTTGGCCGACACATGAGTCATAACAACCCCAAAGAGATCACATTAATTACGTAAGGATCAAGTTAGTTATGGAAGGATCGCAAATATCACGCAAAGCAACTGAATACTATAAATAGGGATCAAATCTCTCGTATTGTGATGAATCAAGCATCTATGTCATTGACCCTATGTAATTTTGTAAACTTTTTCCCCAAATAATATAAAACTTCCCCAAGAGTAAGAGACTCCATTAGAGTGGACCACCCAAGCTTCCAAGCTAGTGAACCACTACAAATTTCTATTTTATTGATCTTTCTTCATAGTTATTTTAACTTTTGAATCGATTATTCAACCCCCAAGAGCCCAAAAGCTCTGACTGGATATCCCTGTAAAACCCCATCAACGTCCTTAACAAGATCCTCAAACCGTTCACCTCTGCTCAACTACGCACAATACACCATCAGATACCATTTCTCATTTTAGTCAATTACTAAGTGATAGTTGTAGAGTTTTTTTTTTTTTTTGTTATTGCTTTGCGTTTCTTTTTTGTTTTATCAATAGCTAAAAATATTGAAATTAATTATTTTTAGATATAATACTGAAAAGTGAAACGTGAATACCATGGAGTTATCCCATGAACAGACATATGTTAGAATATGTGTTTAAAGTTTGCTGAACTCCCACATGGGCTAGCTGCTATATTCTCTGTTTCTATCCCTATAAAAGGATGAGTCCCTCTACAAACAGTTCAAGTTCAAACCACTGATTCATCCTCCTGTGTGTGTGTCACAAGAGAGAAAAATTCGCAGGACTAAACATGGAAGTTGAAGGAGAGAAGAGATATGCACTGCTACTAGCAGCAAGGGACTCTGATTATGTGAATAATATGTATGGTGGGTATTTCAACGTGTTTGTTGCAGCGTTCGGGGAAGAAGGAGAGAGATGGGACTTGTTCAGGGTCGTTGAAGGGGAGTTTCCAGACATGAATGAACTCCAAAATTATGATGGCTTTGTGATTAGTGGTAGCCCTTATGATGCTTATGGCGATGAATACTGGATTCTCAAGCTTTGCTTTCTTCTCCAAACATTAGATGCCATGGAAAAGAAAATTCTTGGCATTTGCTTTGGTCACCAGGTAAATTGATCATAGATATTTTCAAAATTTAAATATATCACAAATTTTCATTGAAATTTGAATTATAAACAGAAAACAGATAACAGACATTCCTGCATGTGTGAAATTTGGACAAAATCAATTTACGCAATCATGTCGCGAGTGTAAAGAGTTATTTTTGATACTCAAAATTGTAACACTCATGTTATAATGGAGTAACCTTATTATTGTGTGAAGGTCTGTCCTTATTGGAATTTTCATAATAGCTGCTGAAATTTATCTTTATGTTTTACAGGTTTTGTGTAGAGCATTGGGAGGAAAAGTTGGGAAAGCTTATAGTGGTTGGGATATTGGGGTAAGAAAAGTGAAAATTGTGAACGATCTCCCTCGTTGTAGTTTCCTTGATGGCTTGCATGAAAACCCACCTGCCCTTTCAATCATTGAATGCCACCAAGATGAGGTCTCTCTCTCTCTCTCTCTCTCTCTCTCTCTCCATTCTACAGAATACTTAAACAACTTGTGAGACTGTTGGTAACGTGGAAAAACAAATGGAACAGGTATGGGAGGTTCCCATGGGAGCTGAAGTGATTGCATTCTCAGAGAAAACAGGTGTGGAAATGTTCATCATTGGAGATCACATATTAGGGATTCAAGGTCATCCAGAATACACCAAAGACATTCTTGATAATCTCATTGACCGTCTTCTTAGCAATGAGTCCATAGAGGTAAGTGAATAACTAGTTTAATTGGTTTGCAATCGGTACGGATTAATTCTATGGTTAAACGGGGGATGAAACGTAAATACGAAGTCCCCTGCTCGTATAAACCCGAGTTTATGTTGCAACCATTAGTTCAAATAGAACATGGTTGGAACGTTTCAAAAAAAAAAAAAAATCCATCCATTTCTATCCTATGTTTTATTTTTCCAGATTCTAATTTTGGACATTAAAAATGTGCAGAAAGGTTTTGCTGCAGATGCCAAGTTAAAATTGCAGATAGCCGAACCAGACCGGAAGTGCTGGGAAAAGATTTGCAAAAGTTTTCTCAAGGGGAGATACAACTAGTTACCTACTTAATCTTTGATAAGCTGGGTCTTTCTTTTGGATCTTAAATCCCATTAATTTTTTTTTTTAGGAATTGATCACTCGTTGATAATTAGTGGGAACCATTTATATATAGTGGATCCCACTTAAATGCATGTTGGAGATGGTGTACCATGAAAAAAAATTCCGGAAAACGTATTGTTGGGATCCAAATCCATCATTTTCCTGTCATTTTGTATCTTTGCATAGATGTTTGAATTACCGACCTAAACAAGTTCATGACACTGCAAACTCTGTTAGTGATGAAATAACAATATTTGGAAGTTCCAATGGGTTATATTTCATATTTCATCAACCATTACTAATGTACTAGATTTAAAGAATCGCTGGCATAATTCACCAGAGATGCTCGAATACTGGTGTATAAACCAGATTTATTTGTGTGTGTGTGTTTGGCTAAAGGAGAAGAGAAAGATAACAATGATCACACAATATCAAGATGACCTAAGTTTCATAAATCTAAATACCACTTCACAAAACTCGTAAGTTAATGGTAGAGTCATGAGGGCATTTTAGTTACTACTTTGATTGATACAAAATCGACACAGAGAAACTGGTACAAATTCAGTCTTAAAGAGTTTGAATCATAATCATATTAACCCGCGAAACTAACTTGATAAATGATCAAAATAAAGGGTCAAACCTGACTATATACAACCATGCATTACTCATAATATTGAATTACCCAAATGAGTGATTTTCACATTCTAAATGAAGCCACGACATAATATGGAAGGGAAGGCCACTGGTCGGGTCATTTGGGCTACCTACTCATGCTAGTTGGTGGAATTTGACAGCAATTTGGATCATACTACTTGTATGGATACAACAAATTGAACTGTAGATGGGGAGTGCGGATATTGGTGTAGCAGTAAAATTTTTCGATTTCGATATTACAAATTTTAATATTTAAAATAATTTTTCTGCACATCAAGTTAGACTACATATATTTGATTTTCCAATGCACTAAATCGTCATTCCTTCAATATGTTATTAGACATGATACAAATTGAGAAAATCTAAATCCAAACACCTTAGTGTACCGCATCTAAACAACTCGGGAGAGTCATTTATTTAATTTCCAATGCACTGAACCGTCATTTCTTCTATATGTTATTAGACATGATACAAATTGAGAGAATCCGAATCTGAATACTCTAGTGTACCGCATCTAAATGACTCCCCCTAGTTGTTTGGTTGAGGAATTTTGGATCAGTATTGAATGTGGAGATTGGAATCGTATTCTTATACATGTACTCCGAGATCCTAGTAGAATTTTGGAAAAGTTGTGCTTAAGCCGCAATGCCATAACTTATTCTCTGTACCCTCGTGTCTATATATTCTCTACACTAGCAGCGGAAAGTGCTGTTTATAGAGCTTCTTTCACTGCCTTTCGGTTACCACCGAAAAGTGCTGTAATTAAATTTCAACTCGAATGCATAAGTTCCATGCTTATGTGAAGAATGGACAGGATCATCAAATTTTACCAAGAACTTTGTGGATTATTTCAGTCAATGCCACCGATCTCTTTACATGATCTTCTTAGTGTCATAATGCTATGGAATTGGTTNTACAACCATGCATTACTCATAGTATTGAATTACCCAAATGAGTGATTTTCACATTCTAAATGAAGCCACGACATAATATGGAAGGGAAGGCCACTGGTCGGGTCATTTGGGCTACCTACTCATGCTAGTTGGTGGAATTTGACAGCAATTTGGATCATACTACTTGTATNGGCTACCTACTCATGCTAGTTGGTGGAATTTGACAGCAATTTGGATCATACTACTTATATCAACTAGTNAATGAAGCCACGACATAATATGGAAGGGAAGGCCACTGGTCGGGTCATTTGGGCTACCTACTCATGCTAGTTGGTGGAATTTGACAGCAATTTGGATCATACTACTTGTATGGATACAACAAATTGAACTGTAGATGGGGAGTGCGGATATTGGTGTAGCAGTAAAATTTTTCGATTTCGATATTACAAATTTTAATATTTAAAATAATTTTTCTGCACATCAAGTTAGACTACATATATTTGATTTTCCAATGCACTAAATCGTCATTCCTTCAATATGTTATTAGACATGATACAAATTGAGAAAATCTAAATCCAAACACCTTAGTGTACCGCATCTAAACAACTCGGGAGAGTCATTTATTTAATTTCCAATGCACTGAACCGTCATTTCTTCTGTATGTTATTAGACATGATACAAATTGAGAGAATCCGAATCTGAATACTCTAGTGTACCGCATCTAAATGACTCCCCCTAGTTGTTTGGTTGAGGAATTTTGGATCAGTATTGAATGTGGAGATTGGAATCGTATTCTTATACATGTACTCCGAGATCCTAGTAGAATTTTGGAAAAGTTGTGCTTAAGCCGCAATGCCATAACTTATTCTCTGTACCCTCGTGTCTATATATTCTCTACACTAGCAGCGGAAAGTGCTGTTTATAGAGCTTCTTTCACTGCCTTTCGGTTACCACCGAAAAGTGCTGTAATTAAATTTCAACTCGAATGCATAAGTTCCATGCTTATGTGAAGAATGGACAGGATCATCAAATTTTACCAAGAACTTTGTGGATTATTTCAGTCAATGCCACCGATCTCTTTACATGATCTTCTTAGTGTCATAATGCTATGGAATTGGTTGATGGACTAATGATGAGGAAAGGATTTCTTTATAGTCACTCAAATTATCATGTGTAACCATGAGATTTTTTATATTTCAGGTTTATTCATTGCATTTCTTTGTGACCAGATTTCTTTTTATTTTTGTTTCATAAAAAAGGGAAAAGAAAGCATTTCATGTGTACACATATAACTCAAAAAAATAGAGAAATCGTACAACTAATTCCTTGTNGACAGGATCATCAAATTTTACCAAGAACTTTGTGGATTATTTCAGTCAATGCCACCAATCTCTTTACATGATCTTCTTAGTGTCATAATGCTATGGAATTGGTTGATGGACTAATGATGAGGAAAGGATTTCTTTATAGTCACTCAAATTATCATGTGTAACCATGAGATTTTTTATATTTCAGGTTTATTCATTGCATTTCTTTGTGACCAGATTTCTTTTTATTTTTGTTTCATAAAAAAGGGAAAAGAAAGCATTTCATGTGTACACATATAACTCAAAAAAATAGAGAAATCGTACAACTAATTCCTTGTAGCTGCAAGCAATGTTTAGAAACATATCTTCATCTAAATATATAAATATGATTAAGTCAAGAAAGTTACATTTAGTTTATCTAATTTGGTATTTGTTATAGTTTTTTTTTAAAACCTATTTTGGATATATTTTTTTAATTCACAATATCTGTAGCTACAAGAATAAACAAAGGAATTAAATAAAACAGATTTCTTGCACACTATATATTTTAGTACCTACAAGATTAGATTGGTCCAAAAAAATACTAAAATTCTAATATGCAAGGTCTACGACTCATCATAAAAAGNTTTTTATATTTCAGGTTTATTCATTGCATTTCTTTGTGACCAGATTTCTTTTTATTATTGTTTCATAAAAAAGGGAAAAGAAAGCATTTCATGTGTGCACATATAACTCAAAAAAATAGAGAAATCGTACAACTAATTCCTTGTAGCTGCAAGCAATGTTTAGAAACATATCTTCATCTAAATATATAAATATGATTAAGTCAAGAAAGTTACATTTAGTTTATCTAATTTGGTATTTGTTACAGTTTTTTTTTAAAACCTATTTTGGATATATTTTTTTAATTCACAACATCTGTAGCTACAAGAATAAACAAAGGAATTAAATAAAACAAATTTCTTGCACACTATATAATTTAGTACCTACAAGATTAGATTGGTCCAAAAAAATACTAAAATTCTAATATGCAAGGTCTACGAGTCATCATAAAAGGNTGCAAATTACAAAAATTTGAAAAAAAAAACAAAAAATAATTCACGTGCAACACACATAAATACCAACTAGTAAATTAAAAATTATAATATTTAAAGATCAAGTTACAATCTTTTGATAATCTAAGTTACAACAATTCAAAAGGATTTAAATTACAACACAAAAAGTTATAATGTACCATAAATTGAAGGGAAAATTACATGCAAACCTTCTGAGGTTTGTCACTTAATCACCAAGACCTCTAACATTTATAATATTACACAAAAATCCTCTAAAATTTGTACACGTGTAACACATAAACCCCACATGCAAACCCCCTGAAATTTAAAGTGTATAATATTTAAACTCCTCAAGTTTAAAATATCAACTATCCATCTAACTAAGATAAACCAACCCACACATTTGAGTTCAAGTCCCTGTATGCATTGCAACAATGAATTTAAAAGATGTGTTTGGAATGATTTTTCCTTGTCAAAACCCAAAAAAGTCCTACCAAACAGGTTAAATTTGTTAATCACCTGCCCATATATATTCTCACAGGCATACTCAATAAACCTGACATTTTAGCTGTAAATCCTTTCATGTTATAACAAGTATAACACAAGATTCAGGTCCTTTAAAAACGCAAGAAAATGGAAAAAGAGCATCAATCATAACAGAAGAGTACACTCCAACATCCCTTCAAATATTCTTCAAGAGTATCTATTTGCACCCATGAACAGGAAAAAAAGGATGTGCCTAGGTAACACGACACTCGGCACCCAATATGGTGGCATCATCTGCATTCTTACAGTGGGGCATGTCTACAGAAAGATATTCAAGGAAGAAGGTGTTACAGAATATAGCCAGGGTAGATAACATCTTTCATCAATCACTAAACCTATATCAATTCAATAAAGAAAAGTATACACTGATACAAGAACAGTGTACATCGATACAACAGTGGTGTGATTTGTATTTCAGATTTCTTTTTCCCTTTTCTTCTTTATTTTACTGCATTTCATGGTTCGTAAGATCAATATACAAAATGACTTACCTACAAGAAATACAAGTGAAATACAAATCACAGTTTAATGATTGTCAAGCAAGTACTTGAAGTTCTCTTGCGTTTTGAACCCCAGCCCAGGTCCACTTTCCCAGCCTTTCTTTTGATCCCAAGATAGCCCTGACAATTTGGAGCACCACAATGGCACTTAACCTCTGGCCCGAATTGCACAAATCTACAGAAACAAAGGTCACAACTTGTTATCTCCAATGTAATCAGTTCATGGCTCGCACTCTTTGGAATCACAGGAAGGATTAGGTTTTTTTTTTTTTTGTGGAATTGGCAGGAAGGATTAGTTGAAAATAATTGCAAACATGCATATTTGCGAATATTTTCATCAGTGCCATTAAACTAAGATAAAAAATGCATTCAATGTTTCAATTGAAATGAGAAATTACCAAATCCAAGCATGTGGTTCAAGCAACCACACTTGAATGGTCAGTCTATATTCACAGTAAAACATATTGATAGATTGCTAGCAATAAAGGTATCATTAAAAGCACACTTTCAAATGTTAAAAACAGCTATGGGGTTGATAAAAAACTAATACTACAGAACACAACTCTACGAGCAAAGTTTGATGTTGCGCTTGGATCATTTAAAAGGAAGATTGTGGCTTCTTTTACAGAAATAAGGGCTACAACAGACATCTACTAAAAGGAAACCATCTTACAAACCACAACACAATCAACGAGGCTTGATTTAAGAGTTTTCCCCATTCAACAAATCATTAAAAATGACCAAAGCAGGAGATTGAAATTATTGAGAACTCACCATTGTTTGTATTCAAACCAATCAAATGACAGATCAGAGACTCATATACATTGGAAAACAATAGTATGCTGATGATATAGCCCCCCCCCCCCCCCCCCCCCCCCCCCCCCCCCCCCCCCCCCCCCCCCCCCCCCCCCCCCCCCCCCCCCCCCCCCCCCCCCCCCCCCCCCCCCCNCCCCCCCCCCCCCTCTCTTTCCCATCAGATCCCAACTTGCTACCCATACATGAGCAAGTAAACTAGATTCAGAGGGTTTGATATGTTGTCCGCAATTTCTAGTAGACTAGTCGGACAAAAAGAAAAACAAAAAATGGTCAGGCATTCTGAAGACCAATTTCTTCCTTCAACATGTACTAAAATTCATTTATCACATCACTCCTTCAGCATAAGAACAAAATGCAAAACAAAAAAGACTCGATAAAATATTCATGGGCATTTTTTCTCAGAAGTAAAACATAGTTGGCTGGAAACCAACTCAACCTATGGCCATCATACTTCACATAACAATTAATATCACACCAGCATTAGTATCTTCAATGTTCATTACACTCAAGAGAGGGCTCAATTTCATGCACCTTATACTTTCAGAGGTCCACCATAACAACACTACCCTATGTTTTCATTGCAGTGTTATATTCAACTCTATATATGCTCCTCTATCTGTAGAGTACATTGAATGTGTAGTAGTGGCTATAACAAAGTTTTTCTTATTCGTTCTAACAGTGACTCTAGGAGGAATGTTCTTATGTGTGCTAAATATTTAACTGTTTCCTTAACTAGAACAAGCGCTTTTAAATTTCAATGTCATCGACAGCAAAAGTTTGGACATGACAGCTTTCTTTCTAATCTGTGGCTTGTATGATCTGTGAGGAAAAGAATCCCTGAAGCTGACATATATCCACCATAGATTTACTCTGTAATTAACCAAATTTATGCAAATTACAGCAATCGTTAGGCTAAGCCAATCGAAACATAGTTGTGCGCAAAAACAAAAACAATGTCTTTGGTTCCAAATCATTCCCGTACATGTAAAGAGAACAATCACTTTGCAACGCAGCATATTGGACTTATTGATAGCAAATTATAATGATCAAAAGAAACAAAACATGGAAAAAAAAATCACGAACAAAGTGAGAAGATTAGATCAACGCACCTATAATCATACGTCAATGGTTCTCCTATTTCAATAGGTCGTGCAGCAAAGACACCAACACGTGTCTCCCCCTCAACTTGCCTTTATTAAGAAAAATGAACATAAAAATGATCAGGACCTATCATACAAGATTGAGTTTTGGTTTAAATGCAGGTTCCCAAATTTATTTCTGCTAAACTAAATAGATAAGTGCAATTTGGACTACTTGTTTGACAAACAAATACAATCTGTCTAGAGCTTTGTAATCTTGTCCCAAGATAATAAGATGAGTAAATTTATTAAGGGAAAAAAAAAACGACTGCATTTTTAAACCTCTACCCAACACTGAGATGTATCATGACACTTGTCCAACAGATAGACATCATATCCTCAGAGTAACTCTGACACCAACATGTCAGAGTAACTCTTTATGAGCCACCAGTCTTCTCCTATAAAGAACACTGAAGAGCCAATCCATAGGCAATATGACGTGGGTTTGATTACAATTAGCCACTCTAAAATGGGAGTAACACTGTCCGCCTGCCACTTACTGCTCCCAGATTTTGCTATTACCGGAAGGCTACCGCCCTATTAACGGGTATGACTTTTTTAAAAAAAATAAATCTGACTAAAGCCTTGTAATCAATTTTCATCCCTTGCTCAAAAATTTCCAGCTCTGAGAAAAGGGGAAAAAACCTTAAAAACTTCTAACATCTCTAAACACAGAAAAATTTTCCCAAAATATATCATCACACATACCATTTTTCCAATTTACAGTTAGGATAACAACTGTGGTTTAAAAAACGTGAAGAATTTCCCTTGAAAGTGGCATCAATTGTGAAGTCTTTTCGAATCTCGCACATGTAAAAGTTTTTAACGCCTTTGTACTTCATGTCCCACAGCCTTTGTTCACACATGGCATCATCAATAACTGAAACAGGAAAGGAAACGAATAAACTTGCAAAGCATGATTAACATATATACTTCAATTAGATGTTCACATATAAAAAACTCAAAAACCCTTCGATATCAGAAGACATTACAAGGCTTCCACAGTCATACATTTTAAATTGATTTCTAAAAAAAATGATCAATAACTTGCAATAATTAGAGAAGAGAAATATCGNAAAAACCCTTCGATATCAGAAGACATTACAAGGCTTCCACAGTCATACATTTTAAACTGATTTCTAAAAAAAATGATCAATAACTTGCAATAATTAGAGAAGAGAAATATTGTGCATCCTCTAATATATGAACCAAAATAACCTTTTCTAATCTGACAAAGAAATACTTACATGAGGGCCACTCACATTTAAATTCAGAGGACTATTTTAAAAAAGTAAAATATAGCTAACAGTTCTGCAATCACAATGACCATGCAATTATTATTTTCCTTTGGAGTAGTGCTGACTGATGCCATGAAGGAAACTTTATCTGATAGAAGTAATAGTTCCTAAAGGAGATTTTTAAGCATACATTAAAATACATATCCATTAAAAAAATGTAACCTGTCAAACTAACTAATGTGTTGATCATCTTTTAATACTGTCACCTTGGTAACTTTGCTTAATACGAGTAATTTCTTTAACTGTGAAATACATAATCAAGCGTTATATAAAAATTGTCTCGCCAATGTTTCCGATTCAAACTCATTTAAACCCAAACTTGATAGAAAGAAAGGATTAGGTGCAGCTAATTACTTACCTCCCCCATCCCAGTCATGTGTGTATGGAGCTCACTACACTAAAAGAACATTGTTCATCAATGAGAAGAGCCTTAGTCGCATATAACCTTTTGTCCTTCCTCAAGCCATAAACAAAAAATCACAAACTACAAACTTTGTCAAACCAAATCAAGACAGACTAATGCTAAGTTGTGCTGATCCCCACGATTGTCAAACAATATACACTTTAGGCTAGTCATGTTCAACATTGGCATGAATCTAGACAGATCCATGTATAAAATTATTAGCAAAAAAGTTCATGAATCCATACTAAATTCAAAGAGATAGAACCTAAAACTTTAATGCTTTTCCAAAAAAAAAGGAACTATCTAGATTCTTTTAAATTGTAAAACGGCTGTTTGGAATAAACAACCAAAGAGCCACATAAGGTGGAGCCATGTTGAGTACTCAGATAACTCTATTAAGCAAGGAAAAAATATAGGCTTTAACTTGGAAACATATAAAACACAGAGACTTCGATTAGGGTGACGTATTCGTATTGGATACATATTAGATGCTGATACTTGTCAGATACTTACAGATACACATAGGATACTTTTTGCACGTATCGAATAATTAATAAAATATTTATCATTGTTGGATACTTATCTGATATTCCTCGGATACGCGTATCTCCATGATAAATAGATTCGCCTTATACTTAGTAAAATGGGTTGTTTAGACACCGTGAGTCAAACAAATGAAAATTACTCATTCCAATGTATTCATTTGGACGTGGATCACATATATCAAAAGATTTGTCAATTCTTTACAATTTGGTTGGTTTAAGTAATGGGTTTTTATGGCTTATGTTAAAGCTAATGAAGTGTATTGAAATCAAATGCTAAGAAACAGTTGAGGACTCGCGATGGGTGATACGTCTTCAGCTTTAGAACTACATAAAACCTTGAATTTAAAACACCCGTAAGTATTCCGATGTCAATAACATAAATTATTTTAATTTGGATGTGTTTTATTTCTTAATCCCTCATATCTCCAGTGTCATAATAACATTCTAATATATACATACATATACATATATATGTATATGTATGTATATTTATATATAGACGTATCTTAGGCATACCTGTATCATATTTTTTTAGATTTTGTCGTATCATCATATCCGTATCGTGTAGTAATAATATCCCGCATCTGTATCCGTGCTTTTTAGTTGGTGCTTTTCCAAAATCAATAATCCTCTCAACTCAAATGATACACCTACAGGCTACAATTCAGTCCTTAACTCATTCAAGGCCCACCATTTTGCAAAGCCTTCTTGTCAAAACAACTACTAAGCCCAAAACAGGCATGATTTTCCACTGCAGGAAATCTGATTTGTTTCTGTGATTAACAATCACACATAATGCTTCAAAAACAAAGTTCCAAACATATACTTTTACTAGATTGGAAAGGCTAAAAAAACAAGGTAAAAGTGAGTAGTTTCTAGAAATAAAGGCAGTGCTTATAAAGTAAATCATTTGTACAGACTGATTTCCAGAAGATAAGAGCATGAGTATTAGAAGCAATGCATAGACAAGCAAGCAATGGTTGTGACTGAAAGAATCAGAATGCCAGGATACAATAATCATGTCAGACAACTGCCAAAAACAGATATAAGAAATTCCAGTATTTAAATATACGAGTAACTACCTTCACCAATATACTCGGTCACAAAATCGCCTTTCTTGATTGATTCAGCTGCTTCTACACCCCAGCCACAAAGTTCAGTCTGACAAAGATGTAAGCGTACTATTTAGAAAGAGCAGTTCAATCAAAATATACTAGTAATCTCAGAAAGGACTAAGCTTGAAATCACATATAAATGCGATTAAGGAAATTTACAAGTTTCAACAGCACAATAATTCACCTTGACAATTCTAATCTTTTTCTCTTTCCGAAACGGTCTGTTTGCACACAATTCCGAGCAATGGCAAGCCTTTGAGCAGCTAATACACTGAACCCTGTTAGGTAACATATTCATGGTACAACATTTCAGAACCATCTAGGGAATAATTGAGCTAAATGGATAGAAATGTCAAATGGCTTGCTGATGGTCTAAACTGCAACACTCAACCAGTAAGACAAACTACCTGGAACAAATTGCAATAAAGGCCGTGAGTTGATTTTTTCTAATATTAGACTAACAAAAAGCCAACTGAATCCAATAGGCTCAGTTCACAAGAAGCTCAGCACTTAAGAACAAAGAGTAAGATTCAAATGGAAGGAGCAGAAATTCTTACTCCATACATTGAAGAGGGATTATACGGCTACTTATTTGGGCTGAAGAATAAAATTTATTATTATCCTAGAGGCCCTGTGAACTATTTCCTGTTGAATTTTGAAATAGTTCTAAATGACCATAAAAAAAAGCACCTGCAAACACAATCCTCAGAGCACATGGAAGAACTGCAATTCGTGCATCCAATACCAGCATCAACATCATCACGCTTTCTCTTGACAAGGTAAATATCTAATTCTGTTAAGGTCCAAATATGCAGTAAACTATTAGTAAATATAACGGTTCAAGCTTTTTAAGTTCAGTTATCAAACTGAAAGAAAATTCAGCCATGTGCAGAAATTATAGTGGAAAATTATTTTTCGCTTTTAAATGTAGAACAGCACTAAATCACTGGTTCGAAGAACATATATAACTGGTTCAGTGCATGCATAGGATACTGCGCCTGATGTGCACATATGGAGGTGGCTCCAACTTATTCTCCATCATGTCTTTCCATGTTATGTCAATCTTGAACTCCTCCTCAACATATGGTAGAGGCAACCGAGAAAAGATTCCCTAAAATAGGAATCACAAGAAAGTTAGCCTCTCAAGTGTACTGGTTCCAATAAATAGAAAATTGACATATTGGAAGATGATGTACTTCCTCAAATTCTTTAAATTGTGGATAAGTAATTCACATTCATTCTTAATCAGGCTTAAGGCTTCATCTTCTTTATATACTGTAGGTCGCGATGGTAGAAGATGAGAGGGAAAGAAAGGGAAGATAAACTCTATACATGAAAACCATTACCCAAATTAGTCCCTCTCAGTCAAGCGAGTTGTTACAAGGGTGAACTGCACCCAGACGTAAAATGATTAGCTTTTTAATGGTCAAGCTCATCACACATTTTGGGGAATGAAATTCTTCAAAGGACAATGATTAGCTTGACTATTAGAATTAGTTCCTGAAGCATTGCTCCCTCTTGTATTTGAAAACTACAAAATGAACAGCTAAGTAAAATTCTGACCTCAATCTCATTCGATCGAACTGCACGCTGCTAGGTAAACAAGATATAATTCCTGTCAGCCATCCTAATCAATCAATAATAAAAATAAAACAATAAAACATCCAACATAAATCATAACATATATATTCCCACACTATCTAGGCCTTGATTGCCACATTCTCATGTGCTATCACTCACCGGGTTCAAATCCCACATGCATGGAATGGGTTGAGGTTAGTTCAAATGCTTACAATCAAAAAAATAAATAAACAGTTTTTAAGGCACTTCACTTAAACAAGGCAAATTTTGTAATCTATTTCGACAGATTCAGAGAGCATGGGCTATATAAAAGTCGTAATCTATTCACAACTATCTGACATCATTTACTTCATTTTTCTTATTTAAGATAGTAAAGGGTAAAGAATTCCTGATGAAAATCTTCAAACGTCTATGCATTACAGGATGGATAATAACTCCAACAACCAGCATCCTCGTTAAGATCTCATTATAAGACCCGAAAAAAAAATTAAGATCAATTATAAGTGTATGCACATTTCAGGGTTACATTTTACCGGTTACCATCATTTTTTGAAGACACAAAAAATAAAATCAATTAAATCAAGTCAAAAAACCTCAAAACGTGGGGGAAAAACAAAAAAAAATCTCAGTCAAGGCACTTCTACTTCACATCAATAGAATCAATCAAGAGCTCAATGTCTACTCAAAGGTTGCCCAAGGGAATATGAAATATTGGATTTATTCTAAGCTTGCAAGGGACTAAAGATCTATTTCAGAAGGGGCCAGGCGGAAATACAGAATTCGAAAATCCGGAAGTGGGGGTTGAGGGCCAGGTTAGATGGCATTGAAAGAGGATGGGCTTTCTACTTTCTCGCAGGCTCGGGAGCAATTTCATATTCATGTGCTCAAGAAGCAGTCTTTTAGGCCTAGGTTGCTTGGTTGGAATCTCAGTCAAGCATATTCGCAATCATTGGCCAAAGAGGTAGTTGACTACTCGACCAAAGAAAAACCGTCAAATGGGGCTTATATACGCTGTTCTCATCTCTCACTCCTTTTCTAACCTACGGCACTGAACGTCAACCCCTCTGATAGAAAGTCAATGATCCACGCATAGTTTCAAAATAAAAGAGTCTAAGCACAGCTACCAAAAAGCATGACATCTTCATTGCCTGGTTCTTATTCTAACAAAGAGGCCACAACAGCCAACAACTCAAGAAAGTAACTACGACTCAAGAAATTTCAATCCATTGTAGAGATATGGAAACCATGTTGATGAAAGGAACGAAGAGATTGACCTTCTTCTGAAAACGCCAATCAGTAGGATGTTTCCAACAAACAACTCGCCCTGGTTGGTCATGAAAATAGATCACATGCTCCGGGAATGCTGCACACTTATCATGTGATGCTAATTTGCATCTTGCACACCGCCATAGATGGAACTTTTGTTTGCATAGATAGCATGCCTATTCAAGGAAGGACGTTAAGTAAAAATAGCAAATATAAATAAGAGGTAAAAACAACAGTGAATACCAAAGATAATCGGTTCATAAAAATAAATTTAAAAAAAAAAAAAACAATGACTATCAAAAGGAAAAGGTATAATAGCAACCATAAGTCTAAATAATTAGCAAGTAGGTATAAAGCAAACGAATCCATCTGGGGCTGATAGATAGAAGAACCCCTATTTCTGCATAATCTAGATAAACTTGAATATGCCCCTAAAACTTTTGCCCCATCCCCCCTTTTGTCTAGAGACAAAAACAAGGGCTTACAAATGTAACAACATTTTTTCAGTTTATTGCCTTACCAGCTGCATCATATCTTAATTGCAATGCTAGCTTCCCCTGAGTAAGCTTTAATAAAGTTTCAAAGATTAGTTTTCTGTTCAAAAGATCAACCAAACATGAACACTAAACCATTAACACCATTAACAAGTCAAGCAAGCATACAGCACCCCATGTACAGATTATACAAGGTAGGCATCACTTTCCCCCAAATTCCCAAATCCAATCAACTGAGCACAGCAAAAAAAATCCATGTTATAATCCCAGTAATGAACAGAAGCAAGTTTGCTTTGCTACATACAGCTCAACTTATTGTCTACTCTCTAACTAAAACACATCCATAGTCAGACATGGCAGGATGAATTAAATTTATAGCTGAAGTCANAAAAATCCATGTTATAATCCCAGTAATGAACAGAAGCAAGTTTGCTTTGCTACATACAGCTCAACTTATTGTCTACTCTCTAACTAAAACACATCCATAGTCAGACATGGCAGGATGAATTAAATTTAAAAGAAACATACATGTTGAGGGCACTTGAATTGTCCCATAGATGAAAACCCAAGCCTTTCTTTTGCACATGTTAAGTGATAAACTCCTTTGCAACCATGAACAGAGCATAACACCTCCTCCCCAGGGTAGATTACATTCTGGCAAACACAACAGTCAACCTGAGAGTAATTACAAACAATTGAACAAAACGCTGTTGTTAGTTCAAAAATAAACTTCTAATGACGAAATTGCAATCCAAAAATCAAATAAGAACAATGGTTACACCATCGATGTCTATAGCCACACAACAGTCAACCTGAAAGTAATTACAAACAATTGAACAAAACGCTGTTGTTAGTTCAAAAATAAACTTCTAATGACGAAATTGCAATCCAAAAATCAAATAAGAACAATGGTTACACCATCGATGTCTATAGCCACACAACAGTCAACCTGAAAGAAATTACAAACAATTGAACAAAACGCTGTTGTTAGTTCAAAAATAAACTTCTAATGACGAAATTGCAATCCAAAAATCAAATAAGAACAATGGTTACACCATCGGTGTCTATAGCCACACAACAGTCAACCTGAAAGAAATTACAAACAATTGAACAAAACGCTGTTGTTAGTTCAAAAATAAACTTCTAATGACGAAATTGCAATCCAAAAATCAAATAAGAACAATGGTTACACCATCGATGTCTATAGCCACACAACAGTCAACCTGAAAGAAATTACAAACAATTGAACAAAACGCTGTTGTTAGTTCAAAAATAAACTTCTAATGACGAAATTGCAATCCAAAAATCAAATAAGAACAATGGTTACACCATCGGTGTCTATAGCCACACGAAGATTCTGAATACTACCAAGAAGGTGGCCTTCGTTCAGAACTTCTCTCATGCCATATAAATCACTTTTTCCATCTCATATACTTTTCACCCAAGTCTAATACCAATCACACCATCATGACAAAGTCAGTGGAAAGTCACCAAAGAAAAAAAAGCCCTAAATTTCATCACTTCCACTTTATCAATATGAAGAAATCAATCCCTGGTGATTGTTCACAGTTAGCTAAAAGCATGGTTTCATTTTCTCCTAATATTGTCACATATTTGTATAAGTTTTATTGTAACAAACATTAAAATGGAAAAGTTGAGTTTATAAGATCAAGACATGATGCTTTTCACTAGGAAATTTCACCAACTAATTCCACTTTAAGGGAGACCAAACTATAAATATCAAACCCTTAAATTCTTGAACACAAGCTATAGCAATGTTCTACAGACAGAAATTACAGGAGATGATCAAATTGAAACATGAACTGCACAAGTGAAAAGCTAGTTGTAAAATCTTGTACAATTCAGGAAACTTAAGTTGATACCTTCAAAAGATGGGGTCGTTACAAAATAGCACTACTACTTTGAAAGATCTGAAGGGTCCATTTGCACTAAGCTGCATAATAACATGCAAGATTACAAGCTTCTTACTGGAGATTATAAGAAGTAGGGTAAAATAGATTCTAGTGGCAGAGGACGTTTTTTAGGCATTAAGGTAGAGTGTTGAAGGACCAAAATGGGCTCCTTGGCGCCGAAAACTTGTCTATGAAAGTAAACATGCATAGTGGTTTCACTTAATGGACTTGGAGGGGCAGCCAACTTCTCCAAATGGCCACTGGAAGCAATGGCTGAAGGTTAACTTCTAAACCACTCTCGCTAATTTCTAACCCCGTTTAATAAGAAAAAAAATATTTTAAAAAAGGAATAAATATGAAGTTCCAATTCTGCCCTTTAGTTTTTCAAATGTAATATTCTATTTACAAAGCGATAGCCAAGAATAGTCTATGAAATGAACTTGCAGTTATTCAAAGTATCAGAGGAATCGTATCTGACTCAACACCTTCCGAGACGATATTGTAACACGATACGTATAAACTCCGAGTCTCGCACGACTCGANAATGAACTTGCAGTTATTCAAAGTATCAGAGGAATCGTATCTGACTCAACACCTTCTGAGAAGATATTGTAACACGATACGTATAAACTCCGAGTCTCGCACGACTCAACTAAGTCGTCCGAGTTATCGTCAACAAATTAGCCAATACGGTTCTACAACACTGTGATATGACCTAAATGTCTTATCATGTTCAACATTTTCTTTTAAGTCAATATTGTCCAATACTATGTCGTGACGGTAAGACCAATTTGTATTAGAGCTCACTGAGTCGATGACCAATACCCCGACGTTGAACCATGCTTGCAGTAGATGGTTTGGATTTAAAGTGATAATGAAGTTCCACTTGTATCCCAGAAGAATATTAATTGTGGCAATCTTACCCAAATTATAAAATTCTATTTGCAAGCAATGCTAGTGTGGAATCTAGCAGAATCAACTTGCTATGCAGTATGGGGAATATGAAGTCTTCCTTACTAAATCTAGGGATTCAACTTAGGTGGGCCAATCCGAATTTAACATAAACTCAACCCGAAAAAATTAGTGTTAGAGTTGAGGTTTTTAGGGTTAGGGTTGAAAAGGCTCCGAATTGAATTTGGGCAAGGCTGTTCACGAGTTTAACTTGAACCCAACACGATGAAATCAAGCTCAATCCGAACCCATCCCTAATTCATGTATTATATTTATATAAATAATATAAAATAAAATATAAATACATATTTTATAATTATTATTATTTAATGAAGGAGTGAAACATGATTTATAAGGAGTATAGATAGTAAAAGTAGTTTACACAACCGATGTAAGATAAGTAAAAAAGACAAAAGAAAGACAAAGAATTGTCATCCCACATCGGATAGACAACTCAAATGATCTCTCCCCTCTCTTTTGTATAAAGAAGGCTCATCCTTACACCCTTAATAAATTGTCTTGATGAGTTTCATCTTAGTGAGCCATGTAGATCTACGTGATAGTCCAACATTACGCAAAGGCTTACACCTAGTTTAGGATTACTGTTTATTAAGCCCGAATTGCCAACTCAAATTGGGTGANTACACCCTTAATAAATTGTCTTGATGAGTTTCATCTTAGTGAGCCATGTAGATCTATGTGATAGTCCAACATTACGCAAAGGCTTACACCTAGTTTAGGATTACTGTTTATTAAGCCCGAATTGCCAACTCAAATTGGGTAAGCCAATTTCAACCTGAGCTTGTCCAAAATCAACTCTGGCAATATTAGGGTTGAGGTAGGGTTAGGGTCATGGTTGAAAATTTTATTTCTAAGGTAGAGCTAGAGTTGATCTCTCAATCCGCCAACCCGCCCAAGTTGCACCCCTAAATAAATCATCTAAGCCAATACCTTCTAAAGAATTCAAGATTGATGTTCACTCTCAGGTGAACGAAGGTAGAGATCCACAATAGAAGATGAAGATCAGAAATGAAGATCAAGAATGACGAACANTCATCTAAGCCAATACCTTCTAAAGAATTCAAGATTGATGTTCACTCTCAGGTGAATGAAGGTAGAGATCCACAATAGAAGATGAAGATCAGAAATGAAGATCAAGAATGACGAACATGAAGATCATAGAGAAAGAGAGAATTCCTCAGTTCATGATTAAGGAATTGTATTTCATTCACACTTATCTAAATGTACAGAGATATATATAAATATACACTTCAATGATGTAAATATTCATGTGTAACCGACTGGAATCTACATTACTAATCTATTACAAGTTTGTTATACAAAATGATTACATCACATTTGTACAGATGGCATTGCAGACTCAACTACCTGTTATGCTTGAGTTATTTGACTGATGCTCTGCTTCAGTGAGTGAACTGCTTACACCTTCCCTCTACAAGTTCCTTTATGTTTCACCTAATAAATTCTTATTTATATCAATATTTCCTCCTACCAGAATGCATTAACCTAATTTGCTAATTCTTGTTGTCTTTTGCTGATTAACAATTTATCATCCTTAACTTATCATCTAATACATTCAAATCAAACAAAAACAAAGCTGAAAGCCAGTAGATGTCGGTAGTCATGCGAGCGGATTTCAAGTGTATATGCAAGACTTCAAACTATCTTGGAGACTTCCAACTATACTGGATAGAAACTTAATACACATATGCAAAAATTTCACAAATCCACTATTGATAAAAGGCGTACTCCGTGCACAAAGCTCCCGCCATTGCGGAGTCTGGAAAGAGTTAAATGTACACAGTCTTACCCTTACAAATAGAGAGGTTATTTCCACCATTGATAAACAACCAAAATCTTTTTAAAGTAGCATTTACTAAACCCCAATTGCTTCTACGACATGAACATTTTACTCATCTGACAAACAAGAAAATCAAATTTCTGTAGCAACTCAACTTAACTCTCTTATAATTTAATGAGATATCGGCAATTCATACACAAAATAGCCAAAAACTCAAGATAAATCACGCGGAAAGAGAAAGCTAGTCGTTCAGTAAACAATTAGAGAACCAGGAATTTACCAATCTGGGCGCTTTGACAAGAAACGGCAAGAAACACTTCAGTTGGGGCACGCCAGACTCAATCTTCATGGCAACCCAAGCCTTGACATAAGAATCCAAACTCTTATTTCTAACTGATTTTTTGCATTTCCTCAGAACCCTAACTTTACCGCCATTGCTATTCAAATTTTCTTTATGCCTTATCGGGAACAGGAACTTTTGTTCCCAATTGCAACTCCAACTGTGGTCTGTACCTAGGGTTTTAACTGAATCAGATTGTTCATTGACCACTGCTTTGAGATTAGAGCAGCTAGAGAGGATTAGAGATGAAGAGTTCAAGAGATTTCCCAAGTCTGGCATCTTAAAACCCTAGAAACTTGTTAGGGCAAAATTGTGGAGATATAAAGATCTGACACAATGAGGTTCTCTGACATCTGTGTGTGTGTGTGAGAGAGAGAGAGACAGAGAGAGAGATGGGAGGGGTTGGGCGGGAATGGTGAAATTTGTAGTTGTTAGAAGTAGGAGGCGAAATTACAGAAAAGACCTTTTGGGATGTAGAATTACAAAACTGCCTCGCAAAGTCGGTGCTAAGTGGGGACTGAAGGAGCGTTGGGTTGACATAGATGTTACTAACGTGCTACGTGCGCGGAGAGTACGGAAGTTGAAAGTAGAATTAGCCCACTGTCGTAAAAGTGACCAAGATCAATGTCATACTGACAAATTATTGCCCAAAATTTTGTTGGTCTCCAAAATTTCATTTCAAATTTTTTTAATTTTTATTGTTAAAATTAATTTGATTTTATGTCATTGAATTTTTTGAATAACTTAATTCTTAATTAATAGAATAATTCTTACAATTTCTCAACTAATTCCAAATTTCTCCCGCATTTTCAATCTATCTCTCATACACATCTCTTTCATTTAAATGTATATTTACTTTATAGGGAAAAGCTATGGTACTGCTCGCGGTGTGGTACTAAAAATTATAATTTTTTAAAATTAAGTTATAATTTATAAAAGATATAATCGATTATAAAAAGTTGCAATCTATACCAATAATTATAATTTTTAAGATAAAGTTATAATGTATAAAGGGTATAATCGATCATAGAAAGCAAAAATTATAATTATTAAGGTTAAGTTATAATTTATAAAAGGTATAATCGATCATGAAAAATTATAATTTAAATCAAAAATTATAATTTTTACGGTTAAATTATAACTTTTAAATGTCAAGTTACAACTTATAAGAGGGAAGTTACAACTGTTCAAAAAAAATTCATAATCAATCATGGGTTGAGCAATTGCAACTTCTCATTTTAAAGGTGTAATTATATCATAAAAAGTTGTAATTCAATACAATACCAAAAATACATTTTCGGTACCATAGACTTTCCCTACTAAATATTATAGCAATCAATTTAGAAAAGAGAATATTTATGAAAATTTTTCTCATCTAGATTTTTTAATTTTAAATTATTTAGAGAAATTTCAATCACACTCCTTATAGTTTATCATTATCTTCAAGAACACTCATCTATTTTTTGAATCTTTAATAACACTCTCTGTCAGTTTAAAGGCATTAACTATAAGACAATTTTATTAAATTGTCCATAATATATTTAAAAAAAAAAAACTTCGTTCACACCCCTTCTAGATAAATATATCTTCAATGAGATCCCCTCTCTTTTTATAAATTTTTTTATAGATTAAAATTTTATTCAAGTAAATTAAAATTCGTTTTTAATCAGCTTGAATCAAATTTTAATCAACTCACATTGAATTTTAATATGTTCGAATTTTGATACTTAAAAAAATATAAATGTTAATCGACTCAAAGTTAAATATTTAAAAACTAAATTTTAATCAACTTGAATTGAATTTTAATTGATAAGAATTTCAATAAAAAAAATATAAATGTTAATAAACTCGAATCGAATTTTAATCGGTGCTAACAGCTCAAGTTGAGCTCAAATCGGCTCGAATTTTAATACATAAAAGAATTTTAATAGGCCCAAATTTTAATACATAAAATATTAAAATTTAATTAACTTGAATTGAATTTGAATCAACTCAAATTTTAATATGTAGACAAAATAATTTTAACCAGCTAAAATTTTAATATGTTAAAAAAGTAAATTTTAATCAACTCAAATTTTATGTAGAAAGATTGTTTGGTGTTTATGCAAAAGCAATTTTGATATTTTAGATGAAATTTTTTTGGTTAAAATTGTGGCTTAACGGTTGTCATTGATGTTTTGGATAATAGAGGGGGTGTCCTTGAAAATATTATAAACTATAAGAAATATGATTGAAATTTTTCCAATTATTTAATAATAATGTATTGATCTCATCCAAAATTATCTTATCCAACATTATTGCATATGGTTTATGTAACTACTCTTATAAAAACTACTTTATTCCATCCTCTATCAATTTATTAGAGATGAGTGCTTATGAATCTTTCTCTCATTAACTACTAGATTTTTTTATTTTTAATTATTTAATAACAATGCATTAATCTCATCAAATTAAATCATTTCATATTGCTTATGTAAATACTCTCACAAAACTAATGTATTTCATCTTCCTTAATTTAGTACAGTAGGTATAATTTTTCAAAAATTTTAGAGCCAGAGTCGGAGTGGGGGTGGGATGGGATGGCATGGAGGTGGAAGTACTGTGCATCGCAAAGAGGGGGTACTACTAGTGAAATAAAAATGAATGTTAATCGAGTTGAAATTGTAAAGTCCTATGTAATTATAATAATACATACTATGTACCAATTGTTGCGTGACTGTAAAATGACTTAAGAATAGGGATATGGGGGTTTACTAGAGGTGTTGAATTTTGGAAAGCATATTTGGAAGAAGTTAAGAAGAGAATAACTAGATAATACCTTAGTATTTTACCCATAATTTTTTATTTTGACATTAGGTTGACTTGATTTTTGAACAGTGAAAACTAGATTTCAAGAGCTACAAAAGTGTGTTTCACAAAGATTTCAAGAATTGACTTCTAATCCGTCAAAACTGTACTGGAAGTTCATATAGGAATTGGAGTAAAGTTTGAACAAAGTCATATTTGAATGCAAGTTAATTATAGTACTTTGGGTTTTGATAAAGAGCTGACAGAACTCAAGATACTAGAAGCAAGTCATGCTCAAATGGAGCATGGCTATAATACTATGGTGCCTGATAGAAAATCTGACAAAAAATTGAGATACTAAGAGCAAAGTACGTTCAAACGCAAGTTACGTTCGAACGAGGCACGCTTGAACACATCACGTTTGAATGAGGCATGCTCGAACCCAAATCATGTTAGAACGTAAGTGCGATTTTTATAAGTGATTAGGCTCGCGTCAACTATTTAAATTCTGACCTATAATACCCTAATGACATTTCTTAAGTCAATTTTTAGCAATTGTGAAACCTAGGAAACCAAGAAAGGGTGAAAGGGAAGAGAAAATCCTAAATCGTGAAGGATTAACGCCTAGGAGATGAATCAAAACTCTAGAGTGCATCAAACTAAAAATTAAATGTAAGATTATTTCTCAAGTTCACTCATTGAGGAATATGAATGTATATGTATATCTTTTCATCTCTTTTATGAAATAAATATTAGTTCTAGGATGTTTTAACATTTATTTGATTCTAGATTTCATTTGTTGATCAAAATATGTGATTTGTTACAAGATTTGTTCATTTTGATGATGAACCCTAGTTCTTGAATTGCAAATCGATTTTTGTGATAGATAAATAATGGTTTACTATTCTTTATGAGAACATGATCGGTTTCTTGGAAGTATTACATATTTTTAACTCCTAAGTACCATATTCTTTATTTCAAAAACTCTGGTTCTTGGTTATGTTCAATTTAAAAGTGTTTTTGGTGATTTCTTGCATATTTTCTTGAAATTATTCTATTTTGGCAATTGTGGAACTATTACTCGTGATTTTATGTGGAAGTTGTGAAACTATGTCTTGCATTTGTAGGTGTGATGAATATGAGTTACCTTTGACCGGGTATCGTAGAACGAATAGATGCGTCTTATCTTGAAAGATTTGATGGTTCCCTATCAATTGTAGTGAATTACTTTGTTCTTGCAAGATTCAAGAATTCACACTATTCATTCACGGAGATCGAAGCTGAGGGACTAATATACTATTCATAGGGAGGATTCTTTACTGTCAATGCATCAATATATGTCCTTCCTAAAGTATTGTTTCCTTGTGAAAATTAGGAATGTGTGAATATGGGCCAAGATAATCTCGTTGTGTGTATTTATGCTAAGTCTATTTGCGTACATGAGATATATTTGTGGAAATTAATTATTGCTTTGAGAATTCTTCTATATCAACTTTACCATTTTGGTACATACACTTGAAATCTCATTAATTTCATTGTTTTACTTCAAAATTATATTATGTTTATTTTACCCAATGAGACCTACCAGTTTAACTGTGTTTGAAATCTTGTTTGGGCTTGAAAAGGTTTCCTATTGAGTTTTTTGCTCATCCTATAATATAAATTTATTTTTTCAGACTTTGGTTTTGAGGAAGACACCACATTAGGTGAGCATGTTGATTGGAACGCTGAAGTGGATTAGTTCCTAGTTATGGTTGATTGGAATAATATTTTTGGATCAATACTTTTAGTATTTAGTTGGAATACCTCTATTCAGGTTTTGGATGTAATTTTGAATACTTCTATTTATTTAATTGAGTTCAAACTTTCAGTAAAAATTTCAAAACTCTAACCATAACACTTGATTTGACAAAAAAAAAAAAAAACCACAAAGCTTAATAATTAATTTCTCGAAAAAATCTTACAATATAGGTATCATTAACTTCAAAATTTTAACTATTAAAAAAAAGTTACCAAGCAAAAAAAAGAGATAGAAAAGTGCATATAACATGAAGCTATTTGGGAATTGTTACAAATACTATGTATGATGTGGAATTGTTGCAAAAGGCATAATTCGTTTTTGAAGCCATAGAAAATTTTGAGGATGAATTTTAGAGTTTTTTAGAGAAGGATAAGAAAAGTGGCTGAGCTTTTTAGAGAGAGTATTGAGGCATGAAATCTGATGCAGTTGTAGGGTTTTCATACTTTTATAAACAAGCAGTTTAGGTGAGTCGGATTCTTAGTCTGTATCCACTCATAAACCGAACTGACGTGTTCTTTTGTTTGCCTTTGGTTCAATCGGTTTAAGGTCAGATAATCAAATATTCAAGTTTTTTTTTGTTTGTATCCTACAACATATTTATACACATGATCGAAGAAGTGACAAATAATTTTATGTGATCTTAGTATTAAATAAAGATATTAAATACTTAGTATACTCGTGATCAAACTAT